TGATATGATAGTAGTTTGCCATAACAACTACCTTGCTACATGAAGGCTTTTACTAAATGTTTTCCAGATGAAAGACATCCTAACAACTGAGCAGTTCGAAACCTACCTCAATAAGCTCGTGATAGAAATCTGGTTCGACAACGTCGACATCATGAATACAACGAAGAAGTTTGGTAGGGGTGGTTTCTTGACCTTCATTTGACCTATGGAAGTCACGTTAACCTTATACTTTGATACATATCTGGATGTAAAATTTCCCGCTCTTTCTGAATCCAGCATTAAAAATAGGGGGTTCCATTAAAAAAAATGACCTTGACCTTGAAATGACCTTGAAAACTGACCTCAAGGTCATTAGCACAAGTAGATGACCCCCACTGTCCCCGACAACTTTTATCCGAACATTTTTTTCGTAGGTTGCGTAGTTTCGGAGATATCTCCGTTTGTCGATTAAAATGGGTCACCGTGTATAGACACATACATGATCATATATGTAACCACGTAGATGGGCAAAATTCATATATGATTTTATGTAATTAAATAATCATATATATTCATCTTTTCCCGGGTAATTTCGCATCTTCTCAATGTACTCGTTTGCGCGAGATAGAAGGACGTTTATTACTGAATTCGACCTAATTTTCAGTGGCACTCTTTCTCGTAGACGCAGCGCGGAATCGACGGTTCCGCGCTTCGAGGCGCCTCAATTCGCGGGAACTTCGCGATACCTCCGCTCGATTCCGAGAGGCTGCACACGTGTTGGGGGCAGAGAAAAAAAGCATGGTACAACTGACGTGTCCTAATAAGAAACAACGTGGCAATACGGCAGTGCAACGAGCCAGCTTGCACGGTTCTCACTGAAACCGCTCGTTCTCGCGCGGACGAGGTGGGCGATAATAACTTGTAGAAATTACTGTATATAAATAAATATACATGGATAAATATTTGTAAAGAACTTGAAAATTATATATCTTGCAGTTAAAAAAAAGAAAAATATCTAAAAATCCCTTGCAAAACAACGTTCCAAAAGAGAATACTCCTTAAAATACGAACGCACAGACGAGCAGTGGTTGATTAGCTTGTGGTTAATTTTCAGGTTTCAAACGATGCGCGTCTTGATTTCATCCCAAGGCGTGATCTGTCAAACTGGTTTTCTGGTTTGACGTGTTATCTCGACGAAATTCGTCCATTTGAATCACGTACCATGGACGACATACAGGAGATTCGTCGATGAAAATTTCGTAGGCATCGCGTTTCGACGAGAACGGCACATACGGTGCACCAACGCAGCCGCCTCATCCTGAGTCGAAATTCAGGCTCTGTTAAACATTTAATTCTACTACAACACGGTAGGAACTAAGATAGTAAAATATGTATTCAATAATAATACAATTTACTCCTGCTTTGACGATGTCTTACGTTTCGCTATTTCAGCGACAAAATAGGTTGTTCAAGGTAACATTGAAATAAAATCTATGGAACTAAAAGTTTAAAAGAAAAATTATCAAATGCAATATCGTCAGAGTGGATTTTTACTAGTTTTTCGATCACCTAAATAAGTGTAAAACTATTTCTTCTAAGAGCGTAACAAAAATTTCGATTTGGGTCTTCAAAATGTCAAACATCTGTAGGTTACCACGGCTGCTATCCAATCACCGGCGCGAAAAAGTGAAACAGTGACCTTTTGGCAGAATAGATAGCAATCTCTTCGACATCAAAATAGTGGCCAAAAGTGACATTTTTTGTAAAATTCTGAGAGTAACTAAGGCCGCATTTGAGTAAAAAAGTAATATTTACTCTTACCTCGCCAAGAGTGGATAATTTGACACATGGCAAGTTCTTTTGATAGTAAAATTGGAAAGTTCATAAGGAAAGGGCATGAACGATACGGAGCAATCGGCAATAAACGAGACGGCAAACATATATATATATATCGAGTGATAAAAATCGTTTCACGGAAACGATCCATTATTTAATCTGTTCTAGCACACATCCACCTACACACATAGACACACATCTCGGTGTCATACACGTCGCCAGTTATTTCAAGGCTCTTCCGGCAGGATAAAAACTGACGTTACGGATACTCACCGACAGATACTCGCGTTGCCACTCATTACCGTAAAAATTAACCGTCGTTACGATTTCGCAGTGCAATTATATCTTTGTTCGCGTTCCAACGCCGGAAGAAAAGAAACAAAAAAAACGTACATAACTCGAAGCACCGTCGCAACAATTCGGACAAATTACTCATTATGCGACTAGCGTGCGGATACGCGCGATTACTTTAATTGATCAGAAGGTGGCTGAAAGAAAAGATGCGCTCGATCGCCGGCTGAATCGCGAAAGTCCTCCGGCAAGGAAAGGGGGGTCGGTCGCGCCGTCATCTCGGCTGAATAACGCTCGTTACGCATATATCTGATCGGAAGTTTTTCATTCAAAGGACTTGGTGGCGAAGATCCCGAGTGTTCGAGTTACACAAGCCGCCCGATGAGAACAGAGTCTCCGAAAAGCAGCCTCTTCTCTCGCGTTCACCTCGTTGCTTCCCGGCGCTCCGGATTTATTACGACGGACGACAAATTGCCGGCGATGTCACATGAGTAACGTTAACGCGCGAACTCGCGCTGTGCGAACGAACGATCGTTATGAGGAAACGAGGTGTGCGGCACAGTTGTGTAAGTGATCGGTGCGGCGAACAGGCAGAGGAGTCATATCGCGCCGACGGACCGAATTTTCCGTTTCCTTGAGACCGCGAGCCTCTCGTCGTCGTCGCGCTCGCTCCGTTCGCTCGGCCGTGGACGACCACAGCTCGCCTCGGTTCTTTTAAACGGTGCGGTGTTAATTTTTCAACTTTTTTTTAATAATTGAAACCAGAGGAAAAGAGATATATATATCGAGACTGGAGAGAGAAAGAAAGAGTGAGAGAGACGCTTTTCGCGGAGGTTGCATAGTGTCGCTACCAAGAGTGCATCGCGTGTCGTCCCGTAATTATGGTGAATTCTGTCCGTGCAGGATACTTGAAGAGGACACGTGTTTCGTGGAGAAAAATTGTATTTCTCCCAAAATGACGGTTCTTCCAATTTCCCCCCCCCCCCCCCCTCCCAGAGGAAATTTCAGAACGCTAATTGTGAGCGTGATTCAGTCAGGCGATGAGTCGGAGGCAAACGTGGCTCTCTTAATCGTCGGCAGATAACCGCGATCGTTGGAGTCAATATTTGTCCGCCGGATGCTCACTCGTGTTCGAAATAATATACGGTCTCGGTTGGTGTCGAAATTGCAGATTCCCGTACGCTGCTTCTACAAAAGGAGGACGGCGTCGCGATGTAAGGGCGCGATTTCGCCCCGAATCAACTGACCAATGAGAGGCCTCGGAGATCGATTTTCCAGATCGACGTTGCTTCCCGCGAGATTGGGGAGATTTTAGAAAATAAGGGTCGATGACAATGATCGGAAATAATTTCGTCCGAAGGGCCGTCAAGAACCTATTCTGAAACGGTTGCCGCGTTACAAAGTGGAAGACGCATTGGGTGACCTCGTTGCGGGTCTCACTGATACTTCGAGTACTTTCAAATCTAAGCCACGGACACACAATCGCTCGCTGCTAAAGACGCGATATTTTTTCTAGGCGATCGCTTACGCCGGATTGGCGGACCCGCAGTATGTACACTACTGCGTTCGCCGGAAGTTTCGTCTACATCGTGTCGGGAGGTCTCATATCTTTGCTGACGTGCGCGAGGTATGGACCTTCTCGTGAAAACGGTAACACAACGGAACGATTTGTCCGAATCGTTTAAGAATTACTGGCACCAATTCAAGGAAATATTTACTAAGGAATATTGGAATAATTATTTTACTTGGATTAAGTAAACATCACTTAATTGTAGCACTTTTTTCATTGGTCATTTTCAATAATCCATAATTCGAAATTTTACATGTTGTTTGCAAAATGATTTTTCTTGTTCAATCCGTTCTACGCCATCACGAAAATTGTCCCTGTTGGTATGAGACATAAAAATTTACGTAATCCAAATAAAATAATTACCCCAACACTCCTTCGCAAATATTTACTTGAACGTAGCACTTTTTTCCCTTTTAGTACTTGACTGACGGCTATTTTAAATCGTTGATTAGTACGACCAGAGTTTGTCGAAAACCACCCTTATTAGACGAGAACTCTTCCGTCAAATTTGCAAAAATATCCCTCGACTGTACATTTCCTTCGATACACAAACCGCCAAACACGAATATCTTTGCCGAACATGCGCGAACATGAAATATCTCTTTAACCGTTATGAGCTCGCTTTTTTACGACGATTACGATCGATCACGCGATTATCGTTGCTTGAGCGGGGCTCTTTCATCGCCGTTGAATTTTCAAAAGCGCTACTTAATTTGACATCTCTCGGCCACTAAACGCGGACGAATGATAAAATAAACGTAGGCCGTATCGTTGCCCGTGAGTTGTATTTAATCAGCCGCCACAATAGGTAGGTCACATTGAAGACACCATTACTGGCGTGATTAACAATGTTCCTTTCTCATTCTATCCGGTCGCTACGGGAGAATGCGCTGGATCGCGACTGAATTGTCAAGTAACACTTTTCGCGCGATGGGGAAAAACCAGTTCAATCAGCAGGAATGCGTGACATTTAGCCAGGATATAATTGAATCCCAGCGTTTGACAGACTCGCTGTACTTCGATTTGCTACCAGGGGAATCCCCGAGTACGCGGCCTTGCTGTGCTTCTTGTCATGACGATCTTGCTTGGTATCCTGCGCTTGGGATTTCTCGTGGTGTCGGTGGTGTCGGCCGCATCATCGCCTGATCATGCTGAGCATCCACGGCGAGAGCTTCGTCGACGTATGGCGCGAACTGGCCAGCAACGACACCAGAATACCGGATTTGATCTTGTCTTGTTGTTGTATTCCGTTGCTTCTCTATAAGGTATCATATGCACGGGAGAAACAATTTTGCCGGTCTAGCTGAATTTTCCGTTGCTTAGGGACCAGATGAAAACTTGGTTGTTGGAAGATTTCTGTAGGAGGTTTCTACATAGAAAAAAATTACTGTTAATTCAAGACTCATATTCTTATATATAGGCAAAAAGGTGTAATTTTGTATGAAGATAAAACTTGTTTACTCATGAAGAAATT